GCATCTCTTTACTAACCCCCCCCCCCCCCCCCCCGGCCCTTTATGGCTGCTGACACGGTCAGCTGGGCCCATGAATGTCAATGTTGGTGTGTGCAGGGGTCTGGTGGGGGTGGGGGGGCAGTGCACCCCTGGCCCCCCCCCCTTGCTGCCAGGATCATGATGTGTCGGCTGCGTGGCGACGCATTTTCTCATGCATGCAGGAGTGCGTGTGGGGGGGGTCCACCCCCCCCCAAATATCTTGCATGGTGCTGTAGGCTCTCGCCCGCCCCCCACCTCCCGTTTAGTATTCCGGTTCCGCGGCCGCTGGTGCTCCGCCGGAATAAGAATGCATGTATTATTTGATAATCAGAGTTTATTGTAATCCTTGACCCTGGGCCCTGCATCTCAAACAGGGATTGAGGATTAGATTTCCCCCCCCCCCTTCCCCCCCTTCGTCGTTTCTGCCAGGCCACCCCCCTGGGGCAGCGATTCACCCCCCCTCCCTAATGTAATGGGCGGCCAAAGCCCCTGCGATTTATGAAAGCGAGTCGTTGGCCGTCCCACAGCCGTGCCCCCGCATGCTGCCGGCTGCATGCGCACGCACAAGCAGACACATGCGCAGACACATGCGCAGACACAGAGCTGCATAGGGTTCCAGATACACACTGTTTTGTTCATGTTTTAGTCTTTGTGTTATTTTGGGCCGCCCCTGCTCTTCCGTGGGTGAGGTGGGCAATGGCCACACCCTATCGTCTTTCCGTCCTCCTCCGTCTTTTCTGTACCACCATACCCCCCCCCCCACAATCGCAGTTAATCGAGTTTCCCTGGTTTATCGCCGGCCAGCCGCCGCTGATGTCCTGACTCTCGTGACCGACGCGAGCACCAGCCTGGGTGTCTGGAGTCACGCTATGCTAACTGCCGAGCCTCGGAACTTTTCCGGATGTTCGTGGAGCTTGGAGGCTCACACCGTGCTAGCTGTGACCTTTTTTAAAAGGTTTACTTTAAGGCATGCTGAAAAAATACAGGCTTCGTCGCAACAGGATCGCATTGGTAGGGTTTCAGCTGGGAAAGTGAGCTACTCATATCGGCAGGCTGGTTGCTCCACCACTGGATCGTTTGCCTTTTAATAAATTCTGTAAGTGCTTAATGAGAGAATGAACTCAGCCCTGGCCGCGCTCCTCCCTCCCATTACCGATATTAATTGCGTTCTAAGAAGTTCGACAAACAGCCGCGTTCGCTGTGGTCCCGGAGTTTGCGCGGCATTGGCACACGGCGGGTGGGCGTGACACAAACAAATAAGCGACAAAAACACGAGAGCGACGTTTCCGGCAAGCGGAAGCACTCATGGAAAACCACGGGTATCTCGGGTGTCTCGCCCCCCCCCCCCACCACCCCCTCAGTAGCCGTTCTACCGGGCCATTCTCTAGGTGCTATGAACTTCTGGTGCCTTTTGTGAAAACGACAGTGGAACCCCAGAATGACCCTAATTTTGCCCCCCCCCCCTCCCCCCTCCAGAGGGCAGCAAACTGAATCAGGAGGTAAATGAAACCATACTACATAAGGATGGAAATAAACTACATTATGGGGGGGGGGTGATCAGTCGAGCCTAAACACTTTCAGGGAATAGGAGCTCCTGGGATCTGCATCTTGAAGGGGGGGTAACATCCCAAAGATAGAAATGGGGGGTATTAATGGGACAGGATCCTGCTGCCCGGACTCTCTCCTGCCGGGGCTCTCGGGGGTTGCTGCAGCGACAGGTGTACAACACTGCCATCTAGTGCCGCCGGTGAATATTGCCGCTTGTATCACTGAACGGACAGACACAGGCCACTGCACGGCGGGATGGAAGCAGAGGAATCTTAAAATCCAGGGATCCCCTCCCTTACACCCCCCCCTTCAGAAAGGCTCGCCGTTGTCTCTCCGTCCCTCAGACGCTCCGTTAGGCCGCCTGTCCCACTTCTGTGTACGTCGAGCCTCATGGTGCCACGGAGGCGTCCATTGGTCGCTGTGCCCCCCCCCGCACCTTCCCAAACTTAGGCAGCTGCCATTAGCCCCAAACGAAGTTTTTAATTAAAAGCGGCGCGTGCCCGGAGCGCGCCCATACCCGCGGAATCTGTACGCTTGCCTAATTACCGTGGGCATATGACCTCTGGGCTGTGACTAATACGGAGCGGCGAGGAGCTGAAGTTAATGGGCTTTAGGGGCTGGCCTGCACTTGCAGGGTGTGTCTGATCCAGCCCACTGGCCCGGTTTAAAACGCGGCCGCTCTCCGCTATTCCCGGACTCCCCTCCCCCGATGGACCAATCGTTTGGGGGTGGGGTGGGGGGGGGGGCAAGGTTAAACCTGCGGGATTAATGAGCTGCCTCCAGCCCAGCCCAGCCCTGCCCACCCCCATCAAACGGGGTGGTAATTATTAATTAGGCCCGCCAAGCCCTCCGCCAGCGCTGGGGAGGATCTGCCTAGGGGGGCCCGCAGCCCAGACCCAGGCCCACCTGCAGATCAGGATGGATCTCAGTGAGACGCCCCAAGATGGGGAGGTCACCTGAAGACTTGTGGCTTCCAAACTTGCCGCTGGGATGTTTTGCTGTGTTCTTAAATTGTTTTGAGAATTTGCGTTAATATCAAATGTTTATGTCCAGCGAGACTTGCTAGTGTCTGTAAGCACAAAGTGCATTTAGAAGGTTTAATAACCCCTAAACACTTTATCATAGTAGGTAGCCATTAAATGCACATAAATGTGTAGAGTATATATTTGTAGACTGGGTTTCTGTTAAATTACTTTTAGGTTTATTTGATTAGTATGGGACTGACTGAGTTTGGCCAGGTTCTGCTAAGAGTGAGATCAGCCCAGCCCAGCCCACTTGCCATGGGTAACATACAAACCTCCACTGTATCGTTCACCTTTGCCATCTGTTATACTCATGTGGGCTGATTACTAAATTACTTCACTTGAGCGGGTATCTGGTGTTGGGTGATGATGTCTGTGGCATCCAGCAATGCATCCCAGCTGCGTTAAAGGTTTGCGCAGAGGGCACCGCTTCTCTTGCTCGAACCTTTGACCACTGCACATATACCCATGGGGGCGTCCGACCTCCCCCTCACCCTTTTACCCTGCCCGTGGCCCCTGTCAGTTATCCCTGCCCCCTCGATACAGAGCACTCCCCCTTCCCCCGACTGAAATAAGTTTCCGACGGCCGGAAAGAGTGGAGGTATTTAGAAATAAATATTCCCTGGTGAAATGATATGCAGCTGCGACCCCCCCCCTCGCTTATCTGCCTGGGCTATTGCGCCCGTCTTTATCACGGGCTGACACTTGTGCTGAACTGGTAATCAGGCGGCCCGGCCACCATAAAGGCAGAGCGCATTCTAATCTCAACTGTTGCATATCTAATACTAATTGGAATCTTGCAACTGGGTCACCGTCATTGTTTTTCAAGTACTGTCAAGTCTCGGAAACATACGAAACCGAAATTATACCCTGTGCCGTCCGCCTGATTGAGGCCCCTTTCAGCCGCTGATGTGCTCTCATCTGTCCTATTAAAATATTCAATCTGCCGTCCGCCGGCCTGGAGGACTGTGCCAGGGAGAGCTGATCTCTGAAACCCTGGCCGATTCTGCCCCCCCACCCACCCTGGGCTCCCTGGGGGTCTCCGTTGCTGGCTGTTAGGAAGGGTGGCTTTGTCTGTGATGGGGGGGGGGGGTTAATTATCTCCTGACAATTTTATTTTTTTTTCCTCCATTCTTGTTTATTTTCCCGATTTCCCCTCGAACGTATCCCTCCCAACGCGATCCGATTAGCACCCCCTGCCCACCTCAATGACCGAAACGGCTAAATCAGACAGATGAACAATCTATATGTTTTGCTTTACCCATCATGGGCGGTCTTAGCTAAATCTGGACTAATGTTCTTGAGGAGCGATGCTTAGCGAGACATCAGATGTGTGTGAAACTGCAGATGAGATACGGGGTAGGCTGGGTGGTGGGGGGATAGATATGGATTAGCTTTGGCAACTTTATCTGAAATGAACTCTACGTGTCAGGCAGCCGCGGTCTGGCGGCGTCTGTTTATGGGCGGGTCCAAAGCTGGCCGAGCGGCAGACCCATCGAGTGCGCGGCCTCCCGTTTGCCCGCCGATCCCCGATGTGACTGCTTTGTCACTTTGTCCTCTATTATCTCCGCTGGAGATAGCGAGTCTGATGGCAAATTGCACGGTGCTCCCTCCCTCCCTCGCCGCCGTCCCCCTGCGCGTCTCTATGTAAATGCGCTCGCGTGCCTCGACCCGCACGCCCCCCCCCCCCAGAGCCGCCTGGCCCGGGGGCGACGCCAGCATGCAGCTCGCGACGGCGACGATGACAAACGCGATATGTGGATGGCGCGTTTCCATAGCGCCTCTTATGAAAATGTGCGTGATGGGAGAATGTGCCGGCATGGAAGCGGTCTTCTGCCACGGCGGAAGCGGAAAAAGTTGTGGGTGGGGGATGGGGATAATTATGCAATTTAAAAAATACCTGGAAAACATAGAGGCTTCTCAGGTGTACAGTGTGTTCATGGCAAATGGGCTTTGACCCAAACAATAAGTAGATGTGGAATCCCTGTTACACTGTTAGCGGTTTAAAGACCCTGAAATACCTAAAATAGTTTCTGTTGATGCTCATGACCGAGTCCCAGATAGCTGTAGGCTTCCCCATGTCACCTGTGCTTTTGGTTGTTTTCGTTGAATCGAGGATTCAGATCTGGGGAGTTTTCAGGTGCTCACAGGGCGCCTCCCCTCCCTCCCCTCCTCTTTACCTGCATCTCTTTACTAACCCCCCCCCCCCCCNCCCCCCCCCCCCCCCCATCTTTTCTGCAGGACGGAACTGTACCGCTCGCTCTTCGGGAAGAACTCCCGCGTTGACGAGGCCCCGCGGGACTGAGGCGCCCCGGCTGAGAGACGTGCGATTGAGCCGAATGGGATTTGTACTGCTGCCCAACACATCGCCTCCTGCTGGACGGACGCGCGTTCAGCACCTTGCGAACCGAACCGGCCTGGATTGCGGAAGCCGAACCCCGACGAGTGCCGCCGGGACTCCACTTGTCCTAGATAAACCCACTCGGCCACCTAATCCCTGCCAGGGAATCGGCATGGTGCTGGACCCTGTAGCCTCAATCAGTGACGGGCAAACTGCAAGTCCTCCTCAATCCCACAAGGCTTTGCTGTCCCATTTCTCTGCTAGCCTGCCATGTCTCTGCTAAAATCCCACTACAGGAAGTGCCTGAGCCCCTCCCAGGAAACAGGAAAGCAACTGGGGGTGCACCCTGAACTTCGTTGACTGATTAGACATTTTTGGTAATATTTTTATTATTAATTCCATACAAAATAAATACAAGGATCGGACAAACATGACTATGCACTCTTGTCCTCACGTATTATGTATTATAAATATATATTTCTGTCTCAGCACGACTTCTGTTCTTCACAACGCTGGAAATGGTATTTGGAAACAAACAACTTCATTCTGCGGCGTGTCTGTAATTAGCTGTGGAATTAGCGAGGCTGACGTGCCTCCATAGATCAGCGGGACCCTCCAGGGAGGGCAGCGGGACCGAGCGAGCCGCATTTCCAATTATTGTGTTGAATTGCTAATTTAGTTATTGTGCCTGCTGTAATTGTGATGGGTATTGGGTGTGCGATTCAATTTGTTTTAAATATTTGTGGGCTGGTGGATCGGTAATGGAGCTGACCTATCTAGCGGCCCATTATGGAAGTGGGAGACAAAAAAAAAAAAACAAAGGATAGAGACTACAAAGATGTTCTTTTTTTCGTCCCCCCCCCCCTCCACAATCGTCTTAGTTTGATCTCCTTCATCCCTCTTAAGACTGTTGAAGTTGAAAAGCTTGAAATTTAGAAAAATAGCACTTTGATCATCCTGCTAGTAGACAGCATCAGGCATTAGACGAGCCAACGTGGAGGGCTTTGGTGCCGCGATAAGCACTTTCGCCCTGAAATACTGCGCTTCGAGCGCCTTACACGCCCAGGCAGCGTCCGGTTACACCCGGACGCGATTACACGCCTTTCCTCCCGCCGCTGGGGCTCGACCGCACCTCCATCCTTCCGCTCCGTCCTTCACGTAATACACGGTATATATGCGCCTATCAGCGGAGCGTGATGAACGTCTCGTTTTGTTATAAGTGAAAGGAAGCAAGACTTAACTCACCTCTACAGCTAACTAAACATGCCAAATGCCTAGCTTTTAATGGCGTGTATTCAAAATAAATTTTGAGCTGATATTTGATAGAGTATTATGCTCTTTTATAGCTATAGTGTCGGGTGCATTGAGCAGTATTCACCCAAATACACCCCCCCCCCCCACTTGGGCGTAAGCCCCGGGGGCGGGTGATATATACCCCCAATAATTGATATGGTTCCATTCACCGCCCCGCCCCCCCATATCAAACCCTCTCCCACGCCGTTGTCCTACATGTCACAGAGGACGATTGGCCGCCTATCATTCGGATGACTGGCAGGCAGCCCGTGTCGGACCGCATTACACCCTTAGGGTCTTTACTGAATGTTTTCTTCATGAATATAGACAAAAACACAAACGAACTTTGCGGCTTGAGGGTATTATTAACGTTGCTCGAAAAGCGACATGTATTTCCTAAATCTTAAAATATTCCATTATAATATTTTGCGAATTTAAAAACTTTGGTGCCTTTATTTTAAGCCGAAGCTGCAGGTGTCGTTAGAGACCCGATCAGATTTCCGGTGATCGGATGAGACATGGGATCCTGGGCGTCGATCCGGCGCCACCCCCGGGCTGGAGATCATGTAGTAGATACGAAGGATCCTGCGCCTCCTGCTCTCCGTTCGGTCGCTTTAAAGTCTCGGGACCTAGAGGCATTTTCATCAGATACACAAATGATTATGGCAGGGATTTTACTCAACAAACTCCCCGCCGTGGACCCCTCTGACATCGCTGAAAATGTAAAATAAAATATTTATGTATGCCGGTTTCTGTATAAAAAGAACAAATTAAGTGTTTGTTCAACAGAGTAGATAAACGCTCACGAAATTAAATTACTGTTTAGAATTAATTGCCAGAGCTTAAGTATGATCATTTTGGTGGGCTTTGCATTTTAGAACAACGGTCACTATTTATTGTTGTTGTTAATATTATCACCGTTATGATCAGTGCGCGGTCACACGCTGCCGCCGATGAGTTCATTTCCATGCCGGTGGCGAAAGGGTGAGACCCGTCCGCGGCTCACCTCAGCCCGGGCCAATTTGTTTGAACGTCGCTATCTGTAATCCAGGCCGACCTGCTCTGTCGGGATCAAGTTCAGCCTGACCTCCAGGTGGGGAGCGCCTACATTGGTATGTAAATGAACCTGAAAATATGAAAATTGAAATGAAATCCGGGGATTTCGCCGCGGCACTTTCAGGGAAACTTCAAGCCCGCACTAATTCCAGACTAATAATGGCACCTTAACTCCTGTCTGGAATTGCGGCAGGAAATCTGAATGATTGATGAATGCTCGGCCGATGAGCTCGTGGTGCCTGTCCATATGCGAATCGGTAAAAAAATAAGACTAAATAACGTTTGTTTGTATACATCACATGTCCTTGATTTTTCTTTCATATTTTTACACGTTGCAAAAGACAAAATGCTTTCTTTTTCCACAGATAGTGTTATGTCACTGACTTATAGATGTTTTTTTTCCCCCCCACATCATGGGGAAAAATCGCCTTAGTCTCCTCTAGGATTTGCCTGTCGGTCTCTACGTGGGGTAGAGTACCCGTTTGGGGGGGGTTAGTGCATTACAGAGTGGTGGCTGCAACGTATTAACCTACCACCGTGCCAGTCTCAGCCACTCCAAACCTAAGGCATGATACAAAAGGGTGGCTGCTGACCTTTGGTTAAATTTAGCATCACCTGCATTAGCTGGCCGCTGTCCCCACACGAGCAGAGACCTGTCACCGCCCCTGTGTAAGGGTAGGGGTGACAGGCCCCCAGCCTTGGCACTGTGACCCTGCAGGCAAGTATATGCAGAGAATCGGCGGGATCAGGGCTTCTCTGTGCGACGTCCCAGGGAGTCACCAGACAGATACTAGAATAGGACCCCCCCCCCATCTCTGCACCTAACACAATCTCCCTAATAAATCCCCCCACCCACCAGTGAGCTGTAAACAGGGGTTAGTGGGGTGACAAACATTTTCTTTAGTTAATCGTGACATTTTAGCTCTTAAAGAACAGGTCTGTGCTCATGTGTGTAACATTTATCTCAGTAATGAGACGGTATGAACAATTAAAAATATATATATCATATATATATATACATAATTATGGATTTATGAAAATTAAGGATATGTAAAATCTGGGAAGAGGTCATTGATTCAGGCTTCTGTGTCTTTACAAGAAACCATCTTTGTCTTAGTTTACCGAAGCGAATCCTTGAAGTTTCGTGACACCCTGTTTGTGCGGCGGTACCGTGCACTGTCTGAGCGCGGCGCCCCCTGTGACCACGTGCCGCAATATCTGCCACGGCAACGGCGCTTTCATGTCCGCTGCTCCGGAGAGAGAGAGAGAGGTCCCGGCCTGCGCTCAGCCCTGGGGTCAGTATGAAAGGGCCCGGTTTCAATGGGGCCTCTCGAGTCCCGGCGCGGGCTTTGATACGCCAGCCCCCGTGGGTCCGGCCCAGTCCGGCCGCCCCGCTCTCGCATGGCCTGCTTACACCTGCCGTGTTTGATCATCAATTAAGTGCCTCCTTTCTTAGGCCGTTTAATCTCCCCACGCAGATTGGTATCACCCCCCACTCAAAAACACGGGCACCTTTTTAAGAACGAAGCGTACTCCTCTTTATCCCGTCAATTTCAATTTCCCTCTTCATATTTTTTTTTTTTTATAACCAGGTTAGGGTTAGAGAGCTGTTTTGCTTTGAAAAAGTACTTTGGTTTCAGTAGCACAGACCTTGCGGAAAGCATTCAGACTAAGCATTCAAAACTCTTCAAAATCAGTAAAGATGATGTGGGCGATGATCATAATAATAATAATAAAGGCATCACTGGGATTTCTCTTGGTTATTTTAAGGGTATAATTCTGTAATTGTCTCACCATGAAATTTCATTAAAAATACAGCAGAAATGATTTATTTCTCAGTGTGGAAATAAAGCAGAAGTGCACATTTCCCTGAATGCGAGGTGTATTGCACTGTCCCCATTACACCGCAGATGGCCTCGGTCATATCGCTCGCTGCCCTCAGCAATCATGTTACGCTCCGTGAATGAATCTACAGCCTCCGCTGGGTTAGGGGCGCCATGCTGACTCTTCAGGACACAGTTTCCAGGTCAGTGCCCTTTTTCCCGGCATCAGAGTGAGCTGCTGCTTGTGTCCGCACAGAGGTGTGGGTGTTTCGGTCCAGATGGGACAGGCAGATTTTATCCACAACGAGTCTACAAAATACGACGGGTCATGCGGTTGTTCATGGTGACAGTTCGGGTTCGACCTGTGCCATCCTGAAAGAGGAAGGTAGTAAGATTGTTTTGCAGCTGCCGGGGTCCCTGTGCTGAAGCAATGCTGCCAATGAGCCAGCAGGGGGCAGCACACTCAGCTGCGGATATGCTCGGCGACGCGGTGCCTCCGGAGATCCATGATGTTCTCCTCTGTGACAGAGTCGCTCTCCTTCATCGCAGCCACCTGTCCTACCCAGTCGTCCCACTGCCACCTGACTGCCATCGCACAGGTAAGGTCGTCACCGCGGTGCTCCGCTGGGCGGAGAGGGCCGCACCTCGTGGGAATAGCATCCCGCCGTTTTTTCCATTTTTAATTTTTTTTTATCGTGCCCCCCGCCGTGTTTTCCTCCACCACCATTGGGTGGTTCCGGTCACGTGTGCTGATCGTTAATCTGGCAGTGATTGATGACTGGCGTCGAGAGGGGAGAGCGATCTCATCACGAGCGGGCGAGCGGGCGGGCGGGCGAACGAAACTCGCAAAAGCCGATCTTTATCTCCGCTGCCGTCTTTTATGATTACAAACTTCCTTATTATTCATCTCCTGGCGCTTCCCCGGCACAAACGCGCGCTGATGGGAGGCTGCTCGGCGAGCGGGGCGTCCTGGGAGAGAAGGGGCCGGAGAGGAGCGCTGCCACAGATGAAATCAATTTGAAAAGCTCTCCAGTAATTGGTTTCTAAACAGAATTCTGTCATGACCGTCTGCTACCCGATTTCATTTGGCTCTGGCATAAAAATAACTCCCCCCCCCCCCCCCCCACGACATCTACCTTGTTCAGCGACGACAATAAAACAACCTTGTTCCTAATTCTGTGCTCCTTTCCCCAAATTGCCCGACTACAGCACCAAGCCGGTTGCCCTCCCCCCATGTGTGTCCACAGGCTGTTCACCTGATGGCCAGAAGGTGGCCTAGCAATTAAGGAACTGTAAATATGGCCCATGGGATGCTGGCTCATTCCTGGGTGGGGAGCCATGCAGTTATACCCTAGAGCGCAAAGTATTTCACCTGAAAACGCTCCAGTAATTTATCCAGCTGTTTAAATGGCTGCTTTGCAGCAACTGCTGCTCTGTGTCTGTTAAGCAACTGGATAATAACGGTAATTAATAATAGGAAGACAGGAGCTGGAACTTGGGGCTGGCGCACGGAACGGCTCTGCTGCCTTGGCCATGTGCTCCTGGAAGCCAGAACAAGTTAAATGATCAGGAGAAAAACGGCTCTCATGCATGTAAACGATAGCAGGGAAGCAGTGAGAAACCCCCGTGTGTTTGTCTTGGAAATCAGCAGCCTGTTATCATTGTAATGCTGTCAGAGGTGATGTTACGATCCGTGTGTGTGTGTGTGTGTGTGTGTGTGTGGGGGGGGGGGGGGGGGGGGGGGGGGGGGGGGGGGGGCATGTGTACATTACAATGTGGGGAACGTATGTCTCACCACAATGTGATTAAAAACCTGTTATTTTGACCTTGTAGCTGAATTTTCAGGTCCCCACAAGGGGAAACTCAATGTTATAAAAATCTGTGAATGCAATCAAAAATTGGAAATGCCAAAAATTGTGTTTGTATTTTGGTTACTTTTGGTTAAGGTTAAGGCTGGGTAGGGGTTAAGGTTATCATTGCTGGGATTAGGGTTTTGTCCATAGAAATCAATGGACGGTCCCCACAAAGATGGGCATACAAATGTGTGTGTGTGCGTGTGCAAGTGTGTGTGCACATGAGTCCTGTGATAGACTAGCATCTCGTCCAGGGTTTCCAGCCTTGTGTAGCAAGCCTGCTCAGATTGATTGGATGGATGGATGGATGGATTTTATCACACATACACACACATGCCCTTTTCTATTTCTGATATTTGGGTTTATTATATGAACAGAATAGTGATGAATTATTTAGATCCGTGCATCGCAACAACTCCTAGACAAGTCGCCCTTCATCATGACCGGCTTTTGATCTTTGTCCAGCTTCTCCTCACGTAACGTGGCTGTGAGCCCCGTCAGAGCCAGGCCATGGAAGGTGGAAAATGCCACCTCCTCGTTTGAGTCCAGGAGTGACGCAAGTCACGAACGGGGTCAGATTTACGCATCTCACACACACACACATGCTCACCCCCCCCAGCCCCTGGCCCCAAATCCCATTCAGCCTCAGGCCGCGGTCGTGGTCCTCAGGATGAGGCGACTGGGAGATGTATAAATCAAACGTCAACAAGTTTCACAGACGCCATTTCCCCCCCGATGCCTTTTTGACTAACCTCGATAGGGGCATGAATATTCATGAAGGAAGCAACTTCTGATCCCAAACAAAGTGAGGCTCTGGCTTGTGAAGATTGCGAAGGCGTTAATGACTTCTTCGTTTTAAGCCTGCATAAGAAAGCCAGATTCCCATGCTTGTAGTCCATGAGAATATTTAATACTGTTATTAATCATTTTTAATCCGTTTGCTTTTAATTAAGAAACAGCATGTTGCTGTCCTATCAGCACGTGCCAGGGTGCAGATTAATTGTAGCTTAAGATAGCTGCTCCTGATTGGAGTAATGTATTAGCTAACACGAATCCAGCTTCTGAGATACTTGTATGTTACCTTGGGAAGCTGGGGTCCCTCCAGGACTTTCTGTCTCCCCCCCCGGCTCCCGGTTTGAAGCACGGTGTCGGGAGTGTTGGGGACACTTCCATCATCCCTGCATGCACGTTTATCTGTGCTTCCGTTACCCGGCCAACCCCCCCCCCCCGAGCTTTTAGAAGGTTGTGTGTTTAGTTATTTATTCCTCATCGTTTTTTTTTTCAGGCACATCGGAAAGCCAAATCGGGGGTGGAAAGGGAGTGGACACCCCAGAGGGACATACCTCTACTCAGCCCACGCCCCCCCCTCCCCCATCCCCCCTCAGGATGCTCAGGGGATAGATGATGGGGGTGTAGAAGGAAACGGGGGCAATAGGCTCAGGGTCACAGCGTCCATGCCTGACCCTGGGGTTACTGGCTGATGTCCAGCTTCTGAGCCTGCTATACCAGTGCAGGTACCCAGTACAGTACGTGAAGGTGAATGTCCTTTATCGTTTTATTTTTAATTTTATGTGTGCATATGTCATGTAAGTCTGAGAACCTGTGCATATGGGCTGTCATTGCCAAGAGATCATCGGCGTGGCATTTTGGGTGTCTGGGTGTGCCAGGCATTGGTAGTGAATAGAGGATCATTTTGGTATTGCGTTTGTACAGCGTTATTCGGACTTGTACGTCCTACACCCCTCAACACCACCGTGTGCTTCAGCAGATGCTTTGGCCCTGTTCTGTGTCGGTGGACCTTTGCCTGCTCGTGTCTCCCCTTCTTCCTGCCTCCATTATCCGTTTAACGTCATGCTGAGTGCATATCGCTCAGATGTGCACTTGGCCGGCGTTATGAAGGTCATCTGCCCGTTAAGAGTATAACTTGGCAAGAAACTGCCCTCCGCCTTGATCACTTCATCTTCCCATCTTCGTCGGATGACCTCATCCTCTCCCCTTGGATGATCACCCCCCCACGTTGCTGTGTCCACCCAATCTTTAATGGTGCTTTTCCACTGCCACCAAGAACCGAGCCATACCCAGCTGTACCCCAAAGAGATGCCTTTCCATTGCAAATTATGCAAGTCGTACCTGTACTGACATGGCCCTGCAATGTCCGATAACTCGGAACTTGATAATCTCCAACTTTCTACATAAAAACATACTAGAGGATGACTAAATGGAATGGATTTGTAATGCACACAAGCTAATGCTAATTCCATTAGCGTTAGATGCTAACATAACATGGCGATTCTCACAGACATGCTAGTGGAAATGAGCACATAGTAAACCACGATATACACTGTGTGAACAGTAAATAAGCGTCTCTTTGGTTTTACTTCGCCGTCGCTCTCCAAACCAGTCAGTGCCTTTACTGAGCCGACCCCCCCTGCGGTGGAAAACCAAAGCGAGCTGGAACCGCACTATAACTAGTGTCTCTTCGCAGTCCGGGTAGGGAACGGCCTGGTTCCTCTGTGCCAGTGGAAAAGCAGCATTAGAAGGTATGTACTGACCCTGGTGGACATCGAGATGCCTCATCTTCTGCTCCAAGGCATTCCTCAACTCCACAAACTGTTGACTCTGTCTAGGGAGAAGTTCATGGACACCAACCTATAGGACCTCCACAGACACCGAGCCTAATTGCTTGTGTCTGGTAATATATCCCAAACATCCAAATCGATCACAAAGTAAATTATTCTTTTCAGCTGAAGTGCAGAACCTGGCGGGGGTGGGGGGGGGGGTGGTTAAAATTAGGGAATGAATGAATGGATGGGCATTTCCAGCACTAATCTCTCCAATGACTAAAATACTTCTCTTCTTCGAAGTGTGGCCCATTGAGTGAGGCAGGGAGCCTGATTGGATGATTCCCCTGGGGTGAGCTCTCCATTAGCTGAGGTGATATAACAGGTAATCAGAAGATAATTAAAAGGCTTGAGTCCTGCGCGTTTGATGCGCATGTGGGAGGGTGGCACCATGGGGTATTCTGAAGGCGTCAACATGCTGACAGTCTCATAGTTGCGTTTTCTCCATTTGGGCCACTTTTCAGTGGACGACGACGTGCTACCGTACAAAGCGTTGTGCTTGCCCACCGTGACTCGCCGCGAGCCGCAGTGGGACCTTCTGCTCTGCCTTGGCTGCCAGACGCTGATCGTGACATATCTGTGACACCCCCTGGCTATAGAGGGGCCCCAGGAATTCCTCCTGAGTCTTCAGCATGGCCTCGAGTTGCGAGCGCTCCCATATAGACTAGGCTTTGACACACCTTCACACCCTGCCGCCAGACACCCACACTACGGACCCATTCCGTTGCCTGGTTACCATTGTGGACGGAATGTTTACAGGTGGACGGAATGTCCGCATTTCACTTTGCTTGAATAGATGCGGCTACATGAAATCGAAACCACACGCAAACGCACACACATGCAGTGGGTTGCAGTGGGTTGCAGTGAGGCTGTTTTGATGAGGGCCCGCTTGGTGAGTCCGGCCAGTGATCTCACCCGCCAGCCCAGCCAGCGATTAAGATGATATTAGCAAATGTGTCAATGTCTATTTTCTGCTCAATTTAAGGGCTCATCACTGTGAAGATTGCCCTCTCCCCGGGAGAGGACCTGCAGAAAACAAACACATGATGAAAGGATAGAGGAGAAGAGGGGTGGAGGGAGAGATGGGAGCAAATAGGTAAGGTAAGTCATTTGGAAGTGGGAGTCTTGTCTTGTCCTCCAGGGGGCGCCCCCTTTGAATTTCGCTGCCTTTAAAGGGCTTAACAGGTCAGATTAGTTGAGAAAGTGACCTGCATCGATGAGGAGAGGTCGGGGGGTTGGAGCTGAGTGCCTGAGATCTCCTTGATCAATGTCGGGGGTGGAAAGGAAAGGTGGTTAGCACACTCGAGTCGGGTACTGGGATTCCTGGGAGTCCTGGGAGAGAAAACTGTCTCTCTGTCAGTCAGGTGGCAGAGTTTTATATGGAGAATTTTTACTGATAAGTTCACAAAAAAAATTTCAGCTGGTCTGCAAATGATCTGCATCTGCGTTGAAGTGTTTGTGTTTGGCTGTGTTAACATGCCTGTGTGTGTGCGTGTGTGCGTGTGGGGGGGGGTGCAGGCATGTGTGTATTACATTGTGGGGACGAAAACTTTCTCAGTTTTATAAAAAATCTATGACTGTAATCAATAAATTAGAAATGCCAAAAATTGTTTGGTTGTTTATGGTTAAGGTTAGGACTGGGTAGGGGTTAAGGTTGTCATGTTTGGATTAGGGTTATGCCCATAGAAATGAATGGAAGGGGGAAGGGGAGGGGGTACACGTTTCTCTCTGCAGTACTTAGACGGTGGTGTCTCATGGGGGGGTTCAGTATATTGTGTGTAGTGGTGATAGGAGATAGAGGGTGCTGGTGATATGGTGGGGATGGTTGGGTGTCTGAGACGAGCGGTGGTGGGAGGGGGGGATGCGTACTCGGGGGGGGGGGGTGTTAGCGTGGCTCTCAGTAATGCAGAGCTAGCTCTCTGTTCCCCGGACCGCCTTACCCATCAGCCGTGAGATTGATCTCTGTCAAAAGCAATCCGTCAGCGCGGGCGGAGAGCCCCTCCGCTCTCCTCTGACAGCACATGCCTATTTTCAGCTGCGAATAAAATCAATTGCTGGGGAATGAAAGGCATAATCAGCCGCTGATTGATCTGCGGGCACCCAGACTGACATGCGACACTCCCCAGGGTGTGACCTACAGCGCGCTACCCTCGCCGGCCAGTAGGGGCGTAGCAGAGATGTTTGTGCATCTCACAACACACACATAATGAAAATTTATACTGAAATAAAATATAGAAACAAGCAGGGACTTGCATCACATACAGGTATATGACAAATCAAACTGTTATGATGTCATACTGAGTTGCCCCATGCCTTCCCCCCTCTAGGCCTGAAATACAGTCATACTCAGGCCCCCTCCTGCCTAGACACTCTGTCCCCACGCACACAGGCCTCGTTCACACAGACGCCACTCTTTCGCTGCTCTCTGATGCTGTTAATAAGTTAATGAGAGCAGTCGACGTATGCAAGCAGGTCTTTACAGCTTGGGAAGGTCATTTCGATTGAGAAACTGAATGTTTCTACATGTCCAAATTGAATGTTTGGTGTTCTTGATTGTTTTGTTCAGGTATTCACTGTTCTTGATTGTTTTGTTCAGGTATTCACTGTTCTTGATTGTTTTGTTCAGGTATTCACTGTTCTTGATTGCTTGGTTCAGGTGTTTGATGTCCTTGATTGTTTCGTTGGCTCTTGTTTGTTCGGTTCAGGTGAGCTGGGAGTTCGGAGGGAGCAAAACTGGGGACAGCTGGGGGTCGCTGAGGACTGGGTTGAGAAATACTATGCTGCATGGTTGGTCATATCAGTGGTTCTTTAGTAGACTGAGGTGTGTTGATGTACACAGTACTGGATGGTTCTGTGCTGGGCTGTACTGTAACGGAGGGCTCCGTGCTGGTCCTGGCTGTATTTATGTATTTATAAGCTCCTTTAGTGGATCATTCCGTGACAGACTGGTTCCACGGTGGACCTGGCTGTGGTCTTTGGTCATGTGCCGGACAAAACCACACATCGTTGAGATGATGAGATAGATGGTGGTCTGCACGCACCTGCCCCCCCCCCAATAACTATGTGCTTGTGAACACAACAGATTACTGTTCGGGGTGGGGCATCGATTGGGTCATGGACCGAGTTGGCAGGTGGGGGCTGTTTGACGGGGGAGGTGCCGGCAATGGGGGCATCAGCGTTGTGGGGGTTAAACCCGGCAAGGGCCCCCGTAATGAGTAAGCATTCAGTCGGCGGGCAAAGATAAATGGAACCTTAGTGCTTCTGCAGCAGTCAGCAGGATCCTGGGGCTGTGGCTTGTTTGTGGCAAATGGAGTGAGCAAAATATCAAAGGCCAGCGATCCAGAAGACGCCCGGCTTTGACAAATTTTAAATTATCCAGAAAGAGAGGGAGGATAGCGGGGGGGGGGGGGGGGGGGGGGGGGGGGGGGGGTTGGGGGGGGGCAGGGAGAGAGGAGGATAGGGCTAAATTATGCAATCCTTTGTGTTGTCCTCCTTTCCGAAACCTATCCCCTCTCTCGTCATCTCTCTTTTCCTCTCTCTGCCTGTTGCCCTCTCCTTCTTTTCTGCTCATCAGCATCATCGCCGTCATTACTGAGGCTGCCTTTTATTCTGGTATCCACTGTTCAGGGAATTATGGGAAGGGTATTGTTGTGCTGTGTAACTGGCATGGATATCATGCGGCTTCATACACCTCTCTCTCTCACACACACACACACACACACACACACAGTTTCTCACACCCCGCTGGCCACGTCTGGATCCCTTGCACCCTGAAGACTGGCACGCTCACCCCAGTCGCTTGTGCCCACCCCCTTCACGCAGCGATTATTCTAGTTGCTTCTGGCACGGCAGCTTCGGAAAACAAACGGATGTGGGGTGCGGCGATGGGCGGCGACGGTAATGACGGCGTGACAGTGCCCGCGGCTCCGCGCTTGACAGCACGCCGGGAACTCGTGCATTTTACACACCATTTCCTCGTTCGACACCCTCTGCCCAGACGGCCGTTTAACCCCTTGCCTGCTGCTGAGCTGGGGTGGGTGATTGCGGGGGTGGCAGGAAGGCAGAGTTGTGCAGTGGGTGGAGGTATGATGGAGAGCAGTGGGTACCAGTAAGGCAGCCATAAACATCAGCACTTTTTCCTCTCCAGGTCTATGCATCAGTTTCCCCGGGTCAGTCACCCAGAGTTTGACCTCTCTGGGATCACATTTGAGTCTTGGACAGTCTGGACACAGACACACCCCGTAGTTGCTGTCTCAGGACCCCTGGATCCTGCCCTAAGTGCTGACTGAATTCTCCTAGGGCAGCTGGCTTCAAGTATCAAATCTCAATTTATATTCAAATCATCCATCCATCCTTCCATCCATCCATCTTCCAACTGCTTTTCCGGTACAGGGTCACAGAGTGCCTGGGGCCTGTCAGAGGCTTCCTGCATGGGATGCCAACCCCTCACAGTCCACACACACACACACACACATACACACACCCTCACACAAACAACAAATCCCGATCCGTTTACTTTATTACAGTGTGCTCCTTCCAGAACAAATGCCCCAAAGCGTTTAACACAGAATCCGACAATGGCATTAAAAGTAAACCTGGAACAATTAGTATTAGTAAAAACATCATAGATAAGCAGAAAACCAATTATACATTTTTTTTTGAAAGCCAGTGTGGGGGAAAAATAAGAAAAGTTTAGCATTAAAGTGAGGATGTGATTGTGAACGGGCCGGGAATCTGGCCTGGGGGCGGCTTAAAGGCTCTGCGTCGAGTCTGGCTATCGGGTCAGTGTCTGTCAGCCGCAGCGATCGCCTGTGTCAGAGTATATCTCCATTCTGGTGGCTGACAGAGGGGTCTACGACCACCCATTTGCCGACCCACCCCAAACAGAGCTTGTGACAGGGACCAGCTGTCGATGCTCCCCCAGGCTGTCAGGCCCAGCAGAACCTGGTCATACATGTCTATGGAGGTGGGGGGGGGGGGGGGGGGGGCGTGATTCAAACTACCGAAATACAGAAACAGACGACAGTCGGTCACAAAATCATCTGTCAGCTTTTCCGGATTGTTCATCTCCTGTTCTGCTCTCCATGGGGAGGGCTGTGGGGGAGTGGGGGGGCAGTATGGCAATCATGTGACCGACGCACATGAAAAAAATACGAGAGTGACAGGAGTACAGGGTGGCCCATGCATGGTGACCGACGATGTCGGATTTGCCATGGGGGGGGGGGGGGGGGTGTGGATCAGGCCTTCTGCTCTTTTCCTCCCCCCTCCCAGATTCGCATCGACGCATGATGCCAGGCAGGGGCCCCGGTGTTAATTTCCAGCGAATTTCACGCACGGCGTCTCGACTGCACGGGTCACAGCCGGTTCAGCCGAATAGACCACCTCCCGCATGACTCTTCCCAATTTTCCCAGACTGCCGTAATTTAATTTCGCATTATGCCGAATAACCTTGCAGTAAGATTGGAAAACGTGCTAGGAAGGGGGCTCACGTGCGCACGGTCTGGACTGTGTATGCTTCATGCCACCTGCACAGCCTCATTCGTTTGTTTGTTTGTTTGTTTGTTTGTTTGTTTGTTTGTTTGCCACTATCCAGTTTTACTGCCTAAAGGAAACCACATTGTTAGTCTAGTAAAGACTTTTCTTTGACTAATGTCAATTTTCAGCCCCGCACGAGCCGCCTCTAATTGTCTCGTACTCATTACGCATGATTTCCGAGCCGTTTGGCCGACATGCCGATTGGCTCCTTGCAGTGTGCACGCCGATGTGTGCGCTAATTGTTTGTTTGTTTATTTATTTATTTGTTTGTTTGCTTATATCCATCGTGTCACCCCCCTCCCATCAACACCACTCCGCCGTCACCCTGAAGGTAGATGTCACCTCCATCTTCCTGGCACGCTGAAGGGGTTCCTGTGCAGTGAATGCATGGTCGGCAGCGCAGTGTAGCAACAAAATGTGCAAAGGCTCCTCCCGGTCATGCTGTCGTCCATCAAGATACGCAGAAGCCCTCCCTCTTTAAAAATGGGCACCTTAAATTAAAAACAAAACGCAGATGTACCAGCTGGTTACACCTGTGGGTTAACTCAACAAGCATTTCACAAATTGGTTAACGAATTGGCCTTGCGCCAATTCTGAACACACAACAGGAGACTTTCTCCATTCACAGGTCGTACCACATGACTACAGCTACAGACAGTTTTTCGTAAGGGAGCAATACTAGCATGTTTTAACAGCCTTTATACTTACATCGATCCTTCTGCATACAGTTGTTTTATATCTGGACCCTATTGCCAGCACA